GCACTTAACCACCAAGCCACAGGGCCGGCCCTGGTGCATTTTTAAAAACAGTGAAAATGAAGGAACTCCAGCTACCTGCACCAACATAGGTGAATCTCCGAACCCTATGTTGGGTGAAAAAAGCTGAAGAACATCATAGTATGATACCACTTATATAAAGTTCACAAACAAGCCAACTACATACACATGGGGTAAATCATTAAAAGAAACCAGGGAGTCTATCACTCCCTGAAATCAAGATGGTCGTTACCGGGGGTTGGAGATGGGAGTGGAGAGAGCAGAGGCTGAATCAGAAGGGAACCAAGGGGGCATTCAGTGATATTGCTGATGTTCTGCTTCTGCAGTTAGGTGGTGGTTTCACAGGTATTCATTCATTATTATGCTTTATGTCTTACATGTACATTGCTTGTACTCTCTGGCGTGTATTAGATAATTTCTAATTCAGACAATTGTTTTAAATATCTTCACACTTTTCCTATTCGTATTAAAGTTAAAGGCTTTTTCTTCCAGAAAAATTGTCCTTTCATTTTGATTAATTTTGATGCTGCAATTGAAGCTTTCTTATAAAATCTTTAAACGTAAAAAATATTGTAAATTAAACTAATATAAATAAGAAGCATTTGCATTTTAAGTATTCTTAAAATCAGCACTTTTAGTAGTTTAGTTTTATAATTCATTTATACTCCTCTAAAGCACATTAAGCTTCTAGATGCATACAAGTCAGCAGCCAGGACTTGAAAAAAAAAAAATGAAAATAAACAATAAAAATAAAATAACAAAAACAGAATAACCCCTCCTAGCTTGTGGAGGCCCGCTTTGAATCAAGCTTTGTGTTTAATTGTTTTTTCCTTAAACGTAAACAACCGTCATTAATTTTTTTGATATTTTTCTGAGGTACTTGAGCTCGAAATTCCAAATGAACCAATCTGTTTTCTAAAGTATTTGCAGGAAAGCAGTACAGTTTTTCATAGCCCAGCCTCACATATTTCCTTTAGTTTAGATGCCTATCTGGTAGTCATCTTGTCAGTTCCAATTTGGTAGAATTGCACACTAGTAAAATAATACACACTGTATAGAAAACCCACATTTTCGAGTTGTTCTAGCTATAAAAGAGGCCTTACATCTGGAAGACCTGTAACTGTCTTACTAGTGGTCCTGAGAGTCCCCTTTCTAGGACCTGCTTATATTAGAGCAATCCCTCTGCCCTCCCAGTACATCCACCTAAGGCCGTTCCTGGGGGACTCCCTCTCTCAGGGCTGATCTAGGTCCAGATTAGCCTCCAGAGTTAGAAGAACAAGGCACACTTAAACATATTCTAGAGGCTTGTTATGCTGCCTAAGCTAAACCTTTCTCTTTCTGCTTTGGCATCATTGGGATTTATGAACTTCTGTGGGGTAGGAGGAGGTTCTTTGGAATTTAGAAATATAACACTAATAAGTATTCTAAACTTTTTCATTCGTTCACCTGGAGAATATCCTAAAGCTGTCTTCTTTCTAATTTTTTCATATGTTTACCTGTTAGCAATTGAGCATTTGAATTCTATCTTGTCATTCTGATAAAGGTAAGGATAGAAGGAATTGTTCAAATTATCTGAATAGGGTAGGTCTAGGACAGGAGTCAGAAAACTTTCTCTGTAAAGGGACAGATGGTAAATATTCTAGACTTTCTTTGTTGCTTATACAATCAGGATACAGTAGAGCCCAAGTGAGGATGGCCATTTCTAGTTGCTAAGAAAAAGTGTCACAGAAGAGAGAACGCTTGATTGGAGTCTAAGAAGAGATGGTCACCAAAGCGTCAGGAAAGCAGAGGATTCCAAGCAAAGGGAGTTACTTGCGCGTGCAGAGGCGCAGAACTGAGACACAGCACTGTGTCCTTGAGGAACTGCAGATAAGTTTGCCTGGCTGGAACTGGGAGAGCGCTCAGGGCCTCATGTGAAGGCGAGGTTAATTACTGAGCTGGATGATGGAGCGCCTTACAGGTCATGCTGGGGAAATTGGATTGTTATATTTTAGAATAGTGATTTTTGACAGGTTTTAGCCCCACAACAAAACCTTTTGTGGAAGCTCAGCGTGTAAAATAGATAAACTTAGAGGTAACTTGTCCATTTAATAGAGAATAGGGGACCCAGTCTCTACTGTGGAGCACCTCAAAAGGGGTTCCACAAAATCCTCAGGCTCCAGGGAACACCTTTTGGAAATTAGTGCTGTAGGGACCAGCAAAAGGTTTTTAAGATGGGGAGTCACACACTCAGATTTGTGTTTTCAGAAGATCACTGTAGGCAGTGTTAAAAATTGTTCTGAAGCAGAGGGACTGGAGGCAGAGAGACTGATTAGAAGGCTGTTTCAGTGGTACAGAGAAGGGGCGCCGAGGATTTGAACAGTAGCAATGGGGAAGGCACATTAAAAGAGATACAGAAGAAAACTGTTGATAATTCAGATATGGAGGAAGAGGGGAGAGAATTAGTCTGGAATGATGTTTCTGACTTGGGTAACTAGACGGATGATAGTGTCATTCTCAAGTAATGGTAACAATAAGTATGTCTCGAATTTGTCTTGTTCTTTATAGTTTTCAAAGTGCTTTCATGTACATTCCATCATTCATTCCCTATTCACCCCTTAAAGCTCTTATGGAGTGACTTCTGCCGGGAGCCTTCGTTCTCGTTGACTTCTTAAGCATTTGACTTTGTTCACTAGTCCTCCTCTTGAAAACTCTTACTCCCTTGATCTGTTGACATCTGATTCCCCGTGTGTTTCTTTAGATCTTCTTCCTCTTGTCCTTACATGTAGGTCTCCTCAGAGTATCTGAGCCTGACTACCCACTATTTCTCCCTTGCTAATATTACCTATTGTGATTTCTTTTATCTCAACAAGGATCTCTTTCTCACAGACCCTGTCCTGGTTTCTGAATTTTAGTATATTTTCAGCTTCCTGCTAGACATCACTAACTATTCATGAAACTCTGTGTCTAGGGATTGAGCTAATTAATAATCATCTTCCTTCTCTGTTTCTCTATTTCCTATTTCTGTTAATGACTGCATTTCTCACTCACCAGGGCTCCAAGCCTTGAAAATGTGTTTGAATCCTTCCTCCACTCTTATACCTAATCATTTATCAAATTCTATTCATTCTGTCTTCAAAATATCATCTACCTCTACTGCTTCCTATTCATTACCACTGTTCTAGTTTAGACCCTTATTGTCACTTACCTATGTCATTTCCGTAACCCCTACCTTGTCGCCTCTCTATTAGTATTATTACCTCCTGTCCATCATATGTGTTCCTGCCAGAATAATTTTGCTAACATATACCCCGGTCATTTTTCTCCTTCGGCTGAAAGTCTTCAATAAGTCCAAACTGTCAATAGAATAAAGATCGTGTTTGTTTTTCTGGAATTCAAAACTTCTAGGACCTGACTATTGGTGGTGAACACAATGCAATCTCTACAGAAACTGAAATATAATAATGTACACCTGAAATGTACACAATGTTAAAAGCCAGTATGACCTCAATAAAATTAAAAAAAAAAACTTCTAGGATCTGGATGCACCCTTACTAATCTTACTTTCTACTCTTCCCCATCTTGTACCCTACTTTCCAGGCAGATTATTCCCTGGTTCTTACACACTTCCCATGTTCCGTCTCCCATCTCTTTATCATCTGTTCCTTCATTCTATACTTCACCATTCCCAATCTCTGAATATCCAAAATGCTGCATAATTAGTGAAGTCTTCTCCAGATCTTTGACATTGCAGTAACCTGTTTATCCTTTGAACTGCTGTAGCACTTTGTCTTTATTAAGATACTACTCACTTTCTACGTGCTATACACGTACACTGTGTCCCCTGCTGAGCTGTAAGCTTAGGTCATGATTTATTTCTGACTTATTCCAGGAGCTCTTTCAGCCTTTATCATTGTGCATTATGCATGGTATATGCTTAGTTAATATGTGTAGAAAGAAATAATCTGATCTTACAGCAACTCAGTCAAGTCGACAGGGCAAGTAACATTAGCCCCTTTTGAAAGGTCACATAACAGGCTCAAAGAGATTAAGAGATTGCCTAAGGCCCTTTGCTCTGTAGTGCCAGAACACTAACTGAAACGGCATCTTCCTAATGCCACAGCCAATATGTGTTCCATTGTACCATATCACCTCTCAAAGTGGCCGACATCAAGCAAGCAAAATAGAAGACATAAGTATGGGGCCGGCCCAGTGGCATAGCAAAGTTCATGCGTTCCACTTCGGCGGCCCGCGGTCCGCTGGTTCCGATCCTGGATGTGGACCTACTCACCACTCATCAAGCCGTGCTGTGGCGGCGTCCCACATAGAAGAGCTACAACTCTACAACTATGAGACACAACTATGTACTGGGGCTTTGGGGAGAAAAAAAGAGAAAGAGGAAGATTGGCAACAGGTGTTAGCACAGGGCGAATCTTCCTCAAAAAAAAAGAAGAGAAAAAAGAAGACGTAAGTAGTATATGAATTAGTTCTAGGTTGGAGGCTTGCATTTTCCAAACTCCAAGAATTAGAATTTATTATAAAAGTCCTAAAAAATGTATGCCTTCCTGTCATTTCTGAAGATAGTAGTCACATAATAACCCATCTCTTGATTTTCAGGTGTGTGTGTGTGTGTGTGTGTGTGTGTGTGTGTGTGTGTACAGAAGAGGAAGAGGGAAAGAGAAAGTATTTAGTCAGGTTAGGAAAAGAATTAATTCAGGAAGCAGAAGACAAACAGGAAATACTTAGCTAACTCCAGATCCTAAAGGTAGGGTGAAACCGCTTGGAAGGAGAACAGTCAGTTTGTATATGTGCTGTCACTGATTGCCACTCTCCAAAGAATGAGGGCATGCACCTTTAGAATATCCTTGAAAACCTACCGCTCTACTTGCTAAACACTGTCAAGAATTTCCTTTCTTTCCTAGAAATCATGTTTGAGGCATTGGTTTTATTTCTTAGATTTTTTGTAATATTCCAATAACACTTCTTTTTTCTTCTTTTACCAGAAGAAGAAGAAGAGCAGGTGCCCACTGATGGGGGTACATCAGCAGAAGCCATGCAGGTTCCCTTGGAAGAAGATGATGAACTGGAAGAGGAGGAAATTATTAATGATGAGAATTTCTTGGGTAAGAGACCATTGGATAGTCCGGAAGCTGAAGAAATGCCTGCCATGAAGCGACCACGACTGTTAAGCACTAAAGGGGACACCCTGGACATAGTATTATTGGAAGCTCGAGAACCACTCAGCTCAATCAATACCCAAAAGATTCCACCAATGCTTTCTCCAGTGCACGTACAGGACAATACAGACCTAGCACCTCCATCGCCAGAGCCACCAATGTTAGCTCCGGTTGCAAAATCACAAATGCCAACTGCAAAACCATTAGAAACAAAGTCATTTACACCCAAAACAAAGACTAAAACTAGTTCTCCAGGACAGAAGACTAAATCACCTAAAACTACTCAGTCACCAGCAATGGTCGGAAGTCCTATTCGGTCACCAAAAACTATATCCAAAGAAAAGAAATCTCCTGGACGTTCTAAGAGCCCCAAAAGCCCCAAGAGTCCCAAGGTTATAACTCATGTTTCCCAAGCACCTGTCAGACCTGAAACACCAAATAGGACTCCTTCAGCTACAATAAGTGAAAAAGTTAGTAAAGAGACCATTCAGGTAAAACAAATACAAACACCCCCTGATGCTGGGAAACTGAACAATGAGAATCAGCTGAAAAAGGCTGTCGTGACCGATAAAACAATTGACGACTCTATTGATGCTGTGATTGCACGAGCTTGTGCCGAACGAGAGCCAGATCCTTTCGAGTTTTCTTCTGGATCAGAATCCGAAGGTGACATTTTTACCAGCCCTAAGAGAATTTCAGGTTCAGAATGTACTACTCCAAAAGCTTCCACTTCCTCAAACAATTTCACCAAGTCGGGATCGACTCCTCTGCCTCTCTCAGCTGGAACTTCAAGTTCAGATAATTCATGGACAATGGATGCCTCCATCGATGAGGTTGTACGTAAAGCAAAAATGGGAACACCTTCAAATATGCCTCCCACCTTTCCTTATATGTCTTCTCCTTCAGTTTCTCCTCCCACTCCTGAGCCTCTGCACAAAGTGTATGAGGAGAAAACCAAACTGCCTTCATCAGGGGAAGTTAAAAAGAAGTTGAAAAAGGAGCTGAAGACTAAAATGAAGAAGAAGGAGAAGCAACGAGACAAGGAGAGGGAAAGAGACAAAAGCAAAGACAGAAGTAAAGAGAAGGATAAAGCGAAAGAGAAAGAGAAAGAAAAGGAAACCAAGCATCCCTGGAAGGAATTTCTCAAAGAGGAGGAGTCGGATCCCTATGCATTTAAAATAAAAGAATTTGAAGATGTTGATCCAAAGGTGAGATTGAAAGATGGAATGGTGCGAAAGGAGAAAGAGAAGCATAAAGACAAGAAGAAAGACAGAGAAAAAGGCAAAAGAGATAAAGACAAGAGAGACAAAGACAAAGTTAAAGATAAAGGTCGAGAAGAGAAGATGAAGGTGGCCCCAGCCCCGCTGGTGTTGCCGCCAAAGGACATGGCGCTGCCCTTGTTCAGCCCCGCCGCGGCCGCGAGGATCCCGGCCATGCTGCCCTCTCTGTCGCCCATGCTCCCTGAAAAACTGTTCGAAGAGAAAGAGAAACCTAAGGAGAAAGAAAGGAAAAAGGACAAAAAAGAGAAGAAGAAAAAGAAAGAGAAAGAGAAGGAAAAGGAGAAGAAAGAGAAGGAAAGGGAGAAGGAGAAAAGAGAGCGAGAGAAGCGAGAGAAGGAAAAGGAGAAACACAAGCATGAAAAAGTAAGCAGTTTATCATTTTCGGCACTGTCTGAACAAAGTCCTATTGAAAAATACAGGTAAACAAAGCCAGCAATTGTATCTGTATTGTGGATGTAAATCACCCATAACTGAACTGGAAATATGTTTGTAATGTGGTTACAAAATTTAGTTTTAATTCTAAAACTCGTAAACTTGTCATCAAGTCCCCTATACACTGGAAAATGTTAAAAGTTCATAGCCTAAGAGGAGTCTAATCACAGACTATAAACTGTCTATTAACCATACTAATCTCCGCCAATTTTAAAAAATCTGTAATCTTAACCTGCAAATAATATTTTTATAATTATCAAGTCTACTACACCCTATTTTGTACCCAATATTAGATACCCAGAAAAGGCAGCAGCATCCATTTTTCTAAGAGCATGCAAGAGCATGGCACTACTTGAAGAAGATAGCAAGGCCCATGGAGTCCTTCTGCACTGGCTCGTTTTTCTTTTTGGTGAACCATTTTGCAACTATTTAGGGTTATGGCTGTCTACAACTTTCTGTAGCATCTCTTACCCTTCTGTTTTCTGCTTTAATAAGATTAGGACATGTTTCTGAGTATCTAGGCAGATCTGGCAGCCCGGTTATTCGGCAGAAAATAATTCCAGGTATTTTATGATATGAGTAAATCAGGCTATCGTGCAGTATGGCCAGAGAAACTGATATAAACCCCGTAGTTTTGTAGAAACAAGGACCTCAATCCTTTGGGCACAGGGTGTGGGCTCTGCTTGAATGGCTTTGCTCTTCAGTCCGTGGTTCTTTGGATTATAGTGGTTGACTGGTTGATTTAAAAATTTCTTTTAAACTTCCTTAAAAAACATCTAAGTATTCACGATGCCATGCATACAGATGCTCAGCGATCCTTTCCCTGCCCTCTAGAAGCGGTCCTCTCTGAGGCTGGCTACAAAATAATGCCCAATAATTTTTTCCACATAAAATTTGATGCATTTGACCTACAGCAGATCTATTACCAGTACTTTTGCAGTAGTTTTATTTTCCAACTCTCCTGGAAAAGTTAGTTCACCTGACAAGCAGTGTTGACAACGCTCACATTTTTCTGCTTAACTTTATTCTCTCCCTGTCCTCCTCGGCTGTTCTAAAATATAAAGAAGTAGAATCGAAATTCAGATATTAATAACTGAACATCAGCAAGTTAACAAAACACAGAAATCCAACTCTTATTTCCATTTAAAAAATCATTTTGTCATTATGTTATTTTTATGTGGTACCTGGTGCTTCCACATTCCTTATTTTCTCCTCCTAACACACCTGTGACATAGAGCCAGCAGGTATTGTCATCACCATATACGGATAAGAAACTGAGCCCGAGAGAGTGACCTGTCCAAGATCAAGGTCACACAACCAGCAAGAGCAAGTCATGTACACGCAGATACACCTCACGTTTTGAAATGTTTACTGCTGGAGATCTACCTGGCAGCAATTAGTCACTTATCCATCATGTACCTAGTCACTTGGCAGCAGAACCCACAGCAAATCAAACAGGGTACTGTTGCTTTCATCACCATCCTAACTGTGGAAAGTCAATGGAGTTGTTTCAACGGCTGTTATGAATTTGAGTAAAGCCCATCAGATTAGATTGCCATGCCTTTCCTCAGCATCTACCTGACTTTGGGAAAGAAAAGTCCCTCAGACTACCTTGGTTGGAGGCAAAGGCTCAGTTATGAGTTGCACAGATTTGATCTAACAGAATATAAGTTTTTGTGTCCGTTTTGATGGGTTATGAATCAGATAAATGACAAAAGATAACAATTTATAAAAGTCAGCTATCTTATAAAGTCTTTAAAAATAATAAACAATATTATCTCTAAAGTTAAACCTGAGTTCAAATCCTGGCTTGTTTAGGTATGTGTAAGTGGGCAAGTCACTTTTGTGAGGATTAAATGAGATAGCATCTGAGACATTTAGTACTGTATCTGACACATAAGTAAATGTTCGGTAAACGGAGATGATGCTGATGGTGGTGGCAAGCATTATTATTCCATTTTGAATCAACCCATAAAATATAAAAACCTTGATACTTCGTTGGACCATACTAGCTAACTTATGTATGACAGGATGAGTCAGCTGTGGTTACAGTGTTTAAACGTTATTTCTGCTTCCTTGGCATTCTTTTAAATTTTAGCCCTTTATGCAACTAAGAAAGGATAAAAGCTAGTGCAACCCATGGAAATGCCATTGACAAAGAGTAGAAATTGAGATATTAACTTAAACATTGACTTCTCCTTTCTCAACCCCACTTAATCACCACCAAGTATCAAGCCATGTGAGTAAATGAAAGTATACCTGAAATTGGGTTACATATGGTCTAAGAATTCTCTTACATATCCACAGAAGAAAGACAGTAAGGGGAAATCAAAATCAGGCGTATCTAAGCTGCCCAAGAAAATGTCTTTTGTCCAAAGAATGAGCGCCACAGTCTCATTATTCCTCATTCTCATCCTGACCAACTCATAGGAGCAACTCGCCTGGACGTTGACCCAGATCAGCAAGCAAGGGCATTGTTTTAATAAAAGAAAAAAATCTCCCCATTTTATTTTACCTACCTATAAAGTTTTCACCAGCCATACCCACGTTTATCAATACAAGAACCAGTAAAGATACCGTTAGTTAAATTGGGATCTGCATGGTAGGTGGAAGGAGCCTTGGGCTTTGGAATCCGGTAGATCTGAGGTAAGGTCCAGGACAAGTTTTCTAGTTTCTTTAATCCTTCAGTGCTTGATCTTTCAAGTAGGGATATGATAATAACACTTTTAAAAACAGCAAAACAGTAATAGTTAACATTTATTGAGTAATTACTATATGCTAAACATACGTTATCAGTTTAATTCCTTACCGCAGCTCTATAAGGTAGATATTGTAATTATCACTTTAAGATGAGAAACTGAAGTTTAGAGAAATTAATAAACTTGCCCAAGATCACACACCTAGTAAGTGATTGAACAGGAGCCACAGTTTCAACCAGGCTGTCAGATGCTACAATTGATGTTCTTAACCGCTATATTTTCCTACATTAAATTAAAATTGGATTAAGTGAAGTAATATATGCAAGGTACCCGCTCAGTGATGCACCATCAGAAGGAAAAATTGTTTTTCTAGTAGTGATAATAATCCAAAGCGTGGTGATTTATGCACAATCTTTCAGTTCCCCTTTATGGGCAATAATATGCGTTAGTAAGGGTTAGGAGTCTAGTCTCTCACATCTCTAAAATAGAAGCAAACTAAGTTTTTATGGAAAACATATTAAGAGCAATTATGTTGAGCAGTGGTAAACATAACCATAATAGCTTTAGCAGTGATAGACCTAACAGTTAGTACATTTTCGTTTGTGTTTGTGTCAGTGTATGTATTGCGTGACCTAATTGGTTAACCATGGATCTTTGGGGTTTAGATGAATGTTACAGGACTACTTTAATTAAAATTTACTTGGTGTTTGAAGTGTTTTTTGGAAGGAGGATTGCTGTGAAAAACTAAATTAAAAAAGTCTCCTTGTTTATGTTAGTGGAATTGAACAGTTGTACATATAACCTTAAATAGAAAATAAGCCAAAATCCATCTGTCAAACTTGGAAATATGTTTTTATGCTCTTATTTGAGTATGATCTGAAAAGTCACGGTAGAGTTTCACCCCAAAAATGATGACGTCACAATCTGTAGATAAATAGGCCCAGAGCTGGCCCACAAAGAACACAGGCTTTGGCAATCAGACTGACTTGGATCTGAGTTCCAGCTCGTGCACATGCTGGTTATTCACCTCTCCTAACCTCTGTGACCCTCTGCTTCCTTCCGTCTCTCCTTCTTCCCATTCAGTACCAGGAAGAGACAGCATCGTTATAAAGTATGGCTTACCTCTGCTTAAAAACGATAGTTTCATACCTTCTCCAAAAATATTTTGGCTTAAAAGGCCTTCTCTTCTGCCCTCTCATGGAAAGCACTAAGTGAAGACTAGTTTGTGTCATTTAAGGTGATTATGACAATCCAGAATTTTCTTATGACTAACCGATAATGTTAATGATCAACCCACAGATAATTGAGATTTGCTTATAATGGAAAGCTCATAAATTCTATAAAGGAATCCCCAAATTTTAGTCTTATTAATTGATTAATTTTATATTGAGCTAACCTTGCCTATCGAATGAACTAACCCAGAGAGTAAATGATATTAGCAACTGCCACTTATGGAGTACGTAAGAGTGCCAGACATGGCCAGAATTCGATTAATCCACCCTCCCCGCAGCTCTGCGGGTTTGGTACGGCTGCTTCTGTAAGCGGAAGAGCTGTGACCTGACTGGGTCTGCCAGTGAAGCCTGTGTTCTGTATCACCTGGAATGGCAATGGCCTTCTCAGGCCTGCCGCCTCAGGTGGAGTTGATGAGAGGGATAAGCACGGTTTCACACTCCAGAGTAAGGTGACATCCTGATTGTAGAAACTTGTAGTCCCTGAAAAGACCTTAGAGAGCTCCTGTCCAACTGCCATATTGTAGAGAGCAGACAGTGGAGGTCTTAGAAGCTTTAATGACTTTAAAATGTTTAATGTTTCTTTAATCTATCCCCAAATCCCTTAGCATTTACCCCCAAATAATCTTTTGTTGAACTTAAACAGTTTGTGTTTTAGAGAAGGATAAATAGTCTTACTGGTTTGTGCCTTTAACAAAAGGTTGTCATTGTTTTTCCTTCTTTTTATAGTAATGTACTCTGGTTTTCCAGTCTTTTCTCATCAACTCTCATAATTAACTAGTGTAATGAAGGGTTTTCAGTAAATAAAATAATCCAGTAAAAAAGGAGAAATACCCCCTTCCTGTTTCTTATGACTGTCTGTTCCAAGAGGAAACCAGTAACTTAATGTTTAAATGAGTTTAAATGAGTATGTCTGAATTTATAGAAGTTTACCAAAGGCCATCTCCAAGTCTTCATGTGAATGAGCTCTGAGCGCTAAATGAAAGCATGAGTTCTGTTTCAG